CACAGTGGCATGGCCTTTTGGGCTGACGTATTTGTGTTATGCCCCTGTTAGGCGGGTGTGCAAATTCGCTTGGCCTTTTGCAATTCGCAAAGTTGGGCAGAGTCCGGTAGGGGTACATTGCAAAGATGGGGTCCAACTGATGGCTGGGGTGTTTCGCAAAATGTTTTTGGCATCGTCCTACGCCGCAGCTAGGCAGGTGCACTTGTCCTACTTAAAGTAAAAGCGGGTCTCGCGTCACGCTCGCCGCGGGCCCAAAAAAAAGTGGAGAAAAAGCGGTACGTGAAGGGCTCGAGGGACTGTGGGAGGTGCCCGGGGTTTTGATGCTTCTGGTGCGGTTCCCTTTTTTTTTTTGTTGGGCGTCGTCGTTTCGCGCCGCACGTGGGGAAGCTTTTGGATTTTTTTTTGGCCGCGCCACATTGTTTCGTTTTCTTCCGAGGGAACGTGGTGGCAGGGGCGGGTGAAACAATGTTCGGGCAGAAGAACCGCGTTTGAAGTAGCGGGGAGGACGAGCGCCAGGGGGAGCAGGGAGACAGCAAATGGGAGCAACGGCAGACAGTAGAACATGATGAAGATGGGCAGGGCGATTAGTGGGAGGAGGATGGGGAGGACAATGTGTGGGATGACCGGCTTTTCGCCCCACCGCCTCCCGTCCTGCTAGGGGCAGGAGGAGGAGCGGGAGTGGGCGGAGGAGCAGGGGCGGAAGGAGCAGCGGGAGCTGGATGAGGACTGGGAGCAGGAGGAGGAGGGGGACAATGATGAGGAGGAGGTGAGGAAGCGGAGGAGGCGGCGCGTACGGTCGTGATCTCTGTATCTAGACTGAAAGTTGTGCCAAATACAGCTACAATGGTGGTTAGAACGTGCAGATTGATCATCATCCTGACGACTGCCTGGGCGAGAGAGAGAGAGAGAGAGAGAGAGAGAGAGAGAGAGAGAGAGAGAGAGAGAGAGAGAGAGAGAGAGGTGCAGCAATCCTTGTAACAGCCAGGCAAACAGTCCAGAGAGCAAGCGGGAGGCAGGAAGGCAAGCAATTGATCCATGAGGCAAGCAAGCGGGGAGATGAACAGCGAATAGTTAGGCAAGCAACACAAAGGCAAGCAGCAGGACAACAAGGCAATGGAAGGCAAGTGGACTGAGTGCTGAGCAGCAGGGAAGCACCAACAGGGCAGCCCACTCATACACAGCATAGACCAAAGCGAACTCTCACTTAACTCACACAACATGTCCAACTGTGCAGATTGTCACCATGAAGAATCATCAGAGTCTCTTTGACGAGGGTGTTGCCACAAGGAACGCGGACACACCGGCATCAACCTCCTGATGAGTTTGTGAAAGTCTGACGGAACAGTCTTTAACGGTGACTGTGTTCTGTGTGGAGTTGTATGTAGTAGTGAACGTAAAGCATGCACGGATCCTGAACTCAGCAGCTGTTAGTAGTGTGTTGTTTGCACTTCGAACAATACAGCACTGCATATTTTGGCACATGTCGAAGGTGCTGAACCTGCACAAAGTGGACAACCTGAAGAAAATACCCAGAAAGGAAGGAAGAAAAGAACTTACCTAAAGTATGTTTGCATGAATGTTCGCTTTGTCAGGGATGAGATAAAGCCCAAGCCAGGTAACAAATGTCTACCTGGCTTGGGCTTTTATGAAGTTTTATCTCATCCCTGACAAAACGAACATTCACGCAAACATACTTTTGGCAAGTTCTTTTGTTCCTTCCTTGGTGGGGACGCTGGACTTGGTTTGCACCAGGTGCAGCTCCCCACCAATGGACTGGAGCAACTGGCACCTGGGGCTGCTAGGGGGGTTGCTCTTCTTGCCCTCCCTAGCAGGTGGGTACCCGTTCTTCCAAAAAAAAAACTTTAAAAAAGTATGTTTGCGTGTATGTGGGTGCTTGCGCACTCACACATATGCTTGCTTGCACTTTATCTCGCAGTGTGTTGCATTTTTCTACCGCTCTTTTGCTTTTGAGAACTGACTTGTTTTTTTGTTTTTTTTTTGTTTTTTTTTTGGTCGTTGTGGTTGTCATTGTGTTATTAATTTTTGGAGCAGGTTCTGGATTCTCTTGCCATCTGTTGCGCGTCGAGTAATAAAAATGTCCGTCTGGCTTTTTCAACATTGCTATTAAAGTAAGGACCCCCTTCCTCATTCATGCACTCAGAAGAACAAACAGCAACAAAAAAAGAATTAGGACCCCTCCGCTGCCCACCAACGTACTCCAACTGTACGCTGGTGCTCTTTGGGCCTCGCTACAGCCACTGTCGAAACGAAAAAAGTACGAGTGCATCTTCCGGGAGAGAATGGGAAGATGCATCCGTTACTATGAATAGCAACGGATGTATCTTACCCCTTACTATGAATAGCAATGTATGCATCTTACTACTTTCTGGGGAAGATGCATTCGTTCTTTTTCTGTTTCTATAGTGGTGTGGCGAGGCCCTTTCTGCGGTGTGCTGATGGCCAGGCAACTTCCAGTTCATTGACCGGTTTACCCAGGACCGATCGATTCAATGATGATATCTCAATGTCATTGCCCTTTCAAAAAGGGGGAAAAAAAAAAGAAAAGAAGGAAGATCGAGTATGGCCCTGAGTGATGAGCCCTGAGCAAGGCGCAAAAGTGCAGTCCAATGGGAGAGGCTAGCCAAGTTAAACCATCAGTACTTGGCCGAGCTATTGATGCCGAGCCGGGAAACGCCCTGCGCGCCAAGTTTTGCCAAGCCGCCGCCGCGGCGTTTCGCTTTTCTTTTGGCTGGCGCCTCCAGCCATTGTGGTCCGGTAGCTTGAAGCCCATCAGTTGCGGCGCGTTAACGGGAAATGCCCGCGGACGATGTATGGGCCAAGTACTGGTGGTTTAAATTAGATCTAGAAATGGTAGAGTACAGTATCTTATGGAAACCAAGACCGGAGCAACCTGGAAGCCCTGGTGCCTATCACTGCTGTTCGGTCCAAGTTACCTGCCCATTGGTAGGGCAATGGTCCTGAGTGCTGGTCACACTGAGGTAGGATAGTGGGATAGGGGGGCGCTAGGAGTATTGACGTGAGGATGGGATGGGAGGTGGTCTTATATTCCAGGACACCCACGGCCTACTGCTCCAGCTGGTCAGTGTGTACTCAGTGACTGGCCTCTACAACACAATGGACTTTTTGAAAAAAAAAAAAAAAAAAAAAAGCCCACTAGAGGCGGGGGTGCTCTTACCACCTCCCCTAGCAAGGGGACTGGTTAAGAAAAGAAGAAGAAAAAAGGGAAAAAAAAAGAAAAGGAAACCAGCCAAGGTAGCAATTGCTTGTGATCTAACAACAAAGAAACAAAGCGTACAACCGACGGGCCTAGCTCGCATGAACTGTTGAAATACAGACCCACGTTCGAGTCCGGATGCAATCAGATGAGCGCATCATTCTGAATTACCTGGGGCCGGGCTGTTCAACGATGCTATCTCAAGGGCTGTCGCCCTTTGAAAAAAGAGAAACAAAGCGTACAACAAGCAACCTTTTGCAAAACCAACCAGTTGTGGGGACGGAATCCGATTATTATACTCCGATGAAACAGTACATCACAACCCCGCGTTTGTTGTCCTCTTCTCCCTCCCTCCTCTCTTCCTACGGTTTACCGGACAGTTCTGTTTGACAATATATATGGGGAGATGGAGGAGGGGAAGGGCGGAGAGGAGAAGATGGGGGGAGAAAAAGTATCAGCAGGAAAGAATCGAATACAAGGACGTCACTAGTAAATTTGTGTAGCCGAAGCCAGATGATGGCCCTGGCATTCTGAGAATGCTCAGAATTTCGCAAGGGACACTGGGCCCGGTTCCCAGTTTGTGCCGGAAGAAAGAGGGAACAGATGTATTCAAGGGACACTGGACCCGATTTCCAGCAGGTGTTGCTCCCCACCAATAGATGGAGCTTGCTTTTTTGTATTAACAAAAAAAAAAAAAAAAAAAAAGGATCGCAGCAAATATGTTAACCGAACCACAGCAACAAAGTTGTGATAGCAGCTTTAATCCAGAGAAGTCTCAAAAACAAGTACACGTAGTACAAGAAGATTGCATAAAAAAAAAAAAAAAAAAGGATTGCAGCATATATGTTAACCGAACCACAGCAACAAAGTTGTGATAGCAGCTTTAATCCAGAGAAGTTTCAAAAACAAGTACAAGTAGTACAAGAAGATTGCATCATTGTCGCAAGCATGTTGACCAACAATCAGGACGGAGGGAGGTAAGGGAAGGGGAGGAGTGGGGACTGGAGGAGGAGGTTGAGAGAGATTGGCCAAAACCGCAAGGGCGGATACGAGATAGCACAGCTTAATGCTAAAGAAGTCTCCAGTGTAATGACCCGCCATATCACAGACTGAGAACACTGCTGATTTCTGGAGTTCTGCCGATGTAATGGATGCCTTGCTGAGATTCCCTCATTCTGCTGAGTTTTCTAAGTCTGTGTGTGTGCGTGCTTTTGACCTGCGTGCCTGTGTGAGTGCTTGTCGGTATGAGTGTGTGTGTGACCCGCAAGGTACTTGCTTGTTTGGCAGGCCCGTAGGGCCGGTACTTACCTGTGGCCGTGGCATTGAGGGTTGCAGCAGGGAAAACACTCAAGTAGCGGAGCCAGGGGCCCGTGGTGCTTAGAGCAGCGGAAAAACACTCAAGTAGCAAGTAGGCAGGTACCGCACCCAGTAGCAGTAGATGTGCCGGGTACTCGAGGCCGAACAGAAGAAGACAAAGTTGGCATTTTTAGAGGCCCAGTAGCAGCAGGCTAGGTCTAGGCCGGTACCAGTCTATCCAGTCTGAAATCTAGAGCCTGTACGGGCAATATCAGAGTCTGAAATGATGTTTCCCTCCGAAAGGGAGGAGGTACCGGTTGCTTGGGAGGCCGAGCGGCCTGGAAGTCACCACCCAGGAGGCAAGTAGGCCACTATATCAAGAGGCCGAGGGAAGAGCCCAGCCTCATTCTTCAGTGTGCAAGTTTGGCGACACACTGCTGGAGCGCTGGCTGCAGTAGCGCTGGGAGCGAAGATTCCACCCGAACCGGAAGATCCTGCCACAAAACCATGGGTAGATCTCCGGATCAGTGAAAGTGAGTGGAAACACAGGGTGAAGAAAGGGGTTTGCCTGCATTGTACCAAGCCGGGACATTCAATCCAACATTGCTTCAGATTTGCAGCAGGGAAACCAACAACGGGAGTAACACGCTCTACAGACGAAGAGGCTGAACATGTAAGTGCACATCCTTCACCAGATTTTGATCCCACTCAACAAACCTCTCTTGAAACCCCATCTGATGCTGATTCCAAGGCTGAGAAACTGCACATCCTATACAAGGTGCCTTGGGTGGAGTCGGAAGAAATTGACTTTCATGCTCTCTTGACACCCTGGGCTCACATGAAGCAAGAACGCGTGCAAGGGATAACAAAGTTGATCTTCTTCAAACTCCGCATTAACGGTCGTTACATCCATGTGTTGGCTGATTGTGGCGCAACCGCCAACTACTTCTCACCGCACGACATTCGTACCGCACGCTTGGGAATGAAGCAAGTGACCTTGCAGAATCCTTGTCGGACCCAAGTGGGCAACCAAGAGGTTGTCACATCTACGCATGCAGTCAAAGGTGTGCGCACTACCTTTGACACAGACCGCACAATCACGCATGAGTTGAACTTCTATGTCCTTGATCAGTGCCCCTTCGACGCGGTTATTGGCTTGGGCTGTTTGCAGGCTTAATGTGAAAGAACCACGTGGAAGGACTCACAATTCATGGTCAAAGATGCCATGGGAATCGAGCGTCCAGTCCTCTTGGATGAGCCGCACGAGTCCCAAGTAACTTTTCTCAATGCAATAAAATTTTGCAAAAAGTGGCGCAGGCGCAAATTTGATGAGCAAATGTATATAGCCTTTGTTAGGCCTGCTCATATGCCTTCTATTTTTGTTGTACATAATGATGCTACTTTGCATGCCGTTTCTACTTCTAATGCAACTACTTCTACCTCTACTAAATCTACTGCTAGTCCAAACGACTCTGCTTCAAATTTTATTGTTTTGACTGCACCTATGCAATCCGGTATGCTTGCACCTGAAAGTGATGATCCTCAACTGATTTCTTGAAGTCTTGGCCGAACCGCATGGGGTCCCCGTGCGTCCGGTCCGACACAAGATCGAGTTGATAGTAAGTAGCACTCCTCCAAAGGTTGTCTATCGAATGGGCTCAGGCGAATTGGAAGAGTTGCGAAGATAGATCGATGACATGATCAAGAAGGGATGGATCAAGCCAAGCGAATCCGAATTCGGTGCACCAGTTTTGTTTGTCCCTAAGAAAGGAGGCAAACTACGGATGTGTATCGATTACCGCGGACTGAATAGAATAACAAGGAAGAATGCATACCCTTTGCCGCGCATTGATGATCTGCTTGATGCATGCAAGGTCTTCAGCAAGTCGATCTCAAGTCTGGTTACCACTAGATTGAAGTCGACCTTGCAGACCAGCATAAAACTGCATTCAAAACTCGCGATGGGCTGTACGAGTTTACCGTCATGCCCTTCGGCCTCACGAATGCATCGGCCACCTTTCAAAGTCTCATGAACAAGGTGTTCCGCAATAAGATCAATCGATTTGTTGTTGTTTATTTGGATGCCATACTAATCTTCGGCAAGTCGATGGAGGAGCACATGAGGCACCTTGAGGAAGTGTTGCAGATCCTCAAGGATGCGCAGCTCCATCTCAACTTGGAGAAATCTGAGTTTGGGAGGGACAGTGTCATCTACCTTGGACATCGGTTGTCTGCTGCAGGCCTAGAGCCCGAGGCAACCAAAGTTGAGGTCATCCGCAAATGGCCTCAACCGGCAAATGTCCGTGAGTCGCGTTTTTGTCTTGGTCTTGCGTCATACCACCGTAAGTTTGTATCCAAATTCTCTATCATTGCCCGACCGCTGTCCAGATTGACCAGCAAGAATGTGTCTTACACATGGGATGGGGAATGCACAACAGCCTTCCAAGCATTGAAGGAGGCTTTGGCGAGTCATCCGATGCTCCGCATTGCAGATCCCAAACTTACATTCGTAGTAACTACGGATGCAAGCTTGTATGGGATTGGTGCAGTGCTGCAACAAGATGATGGCGACGACTTACACCCGCTCGAATTCTACTG